GTTCCCCGATTAGACTTTTTTTGTTTCGTGCAATATTTCTTTCCAATCACTTCTGCACTTTTGTTAGTTGGAATCTGCACATTAGCATCTCTCTCTGCTTCCCTCTGCAGTGGTCAGATCACAGGCATAGCTTTAGGTTTACCGGCTGGCTTGATATTATGCCTGGTGTTGTTTTTCCTGGGTGTGCTGTACCACCGAGGCTTGGCCATCCGCCGCAAGAGAGCCATGAGGAGGTACCTGGAGAGCGGAGAGGTGAGACTTTAGAGACCATCCAACCACATGAGCTGCTTTTGCTTTGACTGCTACATGCATTTGTTTTTAGAGAGGAATGTAATTATGGGAATTTTTGGCAGAGCTTTGAGCCACTTGGTCCCGGAGAGAAAGGCACCAAGGTTCATGCCCGCATCCTGAGGCCTTCAGAGCTGAAAAAAATCAAAGCCCTTGGCTTTGGAGTTTTTGGCATAGTGCACAAGGTATTTATTAACCTCTTTGTCTTTGTGCACATCCACTGATAATCCACTGATTGATGTTCCATGAGAATTTTAGAAGACTGATATAAGTTTCACAGATTCTTGTGAACTGATGTGAATGCTGCTGTGCATTTAATTCTGTTTAAGGGTGTTTGGACTCCGGAGGGAGAGACTGTGAAGATCCCTGTGGCGATTAAAACCATCCAGGATAGCTCAGGCCGACAGACCTTCACTGAGATCACTGATGTGAGTCATAGCATTACAGAAAGAGCAATTAATGTCACATACGTACAACATTTCATACAAAATGCAACGTATCATATCATAGTCAGAAAAGTAAACAGTGTTTTGCTCTCTGTGTAGCATATGCTGTCCATGGGCAGCCTGGACCACCCCTACATCGTTAGGCTGCTGGGCATCTGTCCAGGTCCCAGTCTGCAACTGGTGACCCAGCTTAGTTCACAGGGCTCCTTACTGGAGCACATCAGGCATCACAAGAACAGCCTGGACCCACAGCGCCTGCTCAACTGGTGTGTGCAGATTGCTAAAGTAAGTGCGACATGAGCTACAGACTTTTTTGGAGCAACCACATGTTTTGAATAATATATAGGGTATATACTGTATGGATGTTTGTGCCTCAGGGTATGTACTACCTGGAGGAGCACTGCATGGTCCACAGGAACCTGGCTGCCCGAAACATCCTGTTGAAGAACGACTACCAGGTCCAGATTTCTGACTACAGTGTAGCAGACCTCCTTTATCCCGATGACAAGAAATACATTTACACTGACACCAAGGTTGTTATGATTCATTTAATAAGTCACAGTTGAGAGGTTTTCACTGTCTCCTCGATTTATGGCACGTCTGCAATTTGTCACTTAATCCAGACACCCATAAAATGGATGGCACTGGAGAGCATCTTGTTCCGAAGATACACTCATCAAAGTGACGTTTGGAGTTATGGTAAGAGGCTGCGGGTTTCTTTGTGTGAGTGTGTGAATGTTATACTGTACTAATAAAATAAACGTTCCTCTTGAAAGCTGGCAGGCAGCATTCAAATGTGGCGTCTCTCTTCCCGGACAGGGGTGACAGTGTGGGAGATGATGTCATTCGGGGCGGAGCCGTATGCATCCGTGCAGCCTCAGGAGGTGCCGAGTCTGCTGGAGAAGGGGGAACGACTGTCACAGCCCCACATCTGTACCATAGACGTCTACATGGTCATGGTTAAATGTGAGTATGATGAAACATCACAACCAGTATGCAGAAACACAAAGATATGATCTGACATGTTTTGCTTCTGCTCTTTAGGCTGGATGATTGATGAAAATATAAGGCCGACCTTCAAAGAGCTGGCCAGTGACTTTACTCGCATGGCAAGAGACCCACCAAGATATCTTGTCATCAAGGTGAGGCTATCATCGTCATTTATTCTAAAGTTAAGTCCACTGGCTGTTGACTTAGACGTTAAACCCTTTATGCTTCTATGTATTTCTGTAGATGGAAGGAGGAGAAGCTGCCTCTGTCGAGATCCATCGAAGAGAATCAGAGCGAGGGCTGCTGCAGGAAGATTTGGAAGACCAACACGAGGAAGGACTGGAGGATGGTTTCACTACTCCTCCTCTCCAACACTCTCCATCTTGGAGTCTGTCTCGTTCACGGATTAATTCTTACAGGGTAATGAAACACACATATATTTTAGACTCTTTTGGGACCATTGTGATTAGATCAGAGGCAAATGAAACGAGAACATAACACTTTTTCTTCCCTGATTTGTAGAGTGGTACCTCTCAGGCTGGACCCATTGGATACCTGCCAATGAACCCCAGCCCCGTGGACAGTATCCGCCAGGTGATACAGACTCACAAAATCACACACATGCATGCAAACAAACACATTACTACAATTACACAGGTGATACAGTTTAAAACTTTGAACTATACTTTTCCAATAGCCATATTAGAGTCAATATTACGACCCCACAGTGCCAGTGGGTCATTAGCAGAGGAAGTGAGAGACATTAAAGCGCATTAGAGCTGCTGCATCAGTACATGTCTTCCGTTTTTCTGTCTCAGCTGTGGCTTCAAAGGTCTCGACTGAGCTCTGTGCGGACGCTGCCCGAGAGGTCAGAGTTCAGGGGGAGTGGCAGAGAGGCAGAGCTGCATGAGGAGGGTTCACGGACTGAGAGTCTTCACAGGGCCAGGTTTGGCTCCGAGAGGGGTACCCCTCGTATAGCCATTAGCCGGCACAGGAAGCTCTCATCAGCATCAAGTCCATCCTCGTATAAAGTGTGGACTGCAGAGGAAGAAGAGGAGGTGGACCACTGTGGCTATGTCCTGGCTGGGTCATGTGTTACTCCACAGAGAGGTAAAATACCAGCACTCTGATGGGAGCATGCTGATTTATTCTATTATTTACTTGACTGTTTTGTAAGTGATGGTGTAAACAATACATAATCGTGGCTTCTCCCTCCTGATCTTCCTTCTACACATTCTGTCTTGGCACACAGTCTGCAGCGCCTCTCATTCTGGGCGAAGAACCTCAAGACTCAAGAATAATCTGTCTCTTGTGGTGATAAATCCCTCCCAGGAGTATGAAATCATGAGCAAAGAATCTGGTGCTCCTCTTTGCTCGACCAGCAGCGTCCTATCACAGGGAGAGGCCAACTCAGCGGCAGTTTGTTGTAAAACCTCACCAACCCTCATGGCTCGCTTACCTGTAGAGGAAACAACGGATGTGGAAACTCTGACACCAATCTCAGCTGTAAGGATGAAGCAAGAAGATGGAGATAGTGAAGGAGGTGTTGCAGAGCAAAGAGACTCCACGGAGAAACATCAGCTCACTGGAGACTCTGATAGTAAAATCAGAGCTGTGGATGACCAAGAAGAGGCAGCTCAAGGGATAGGCAGGTATGAATACATGGATATCAGGCGTTTGAACTCTATAGAGGGAGATGATCCAGCATGGGAGAGATGTGGGAGTCAAACATCTTCAAAGAGCACAGCAAAGACAGAGGAAACAGACCAAATAGTGGAGGTGTTGAAAAAAGAGCTTGAGGAGGAAGAGGAGGAGGAGAAGTACCACAACACAAATAAACAACCTGCACTTCAGGGGAATGTGAGCGGTATGGTCATGCCTAGGCCAGATGTGCTCACAGGAGGGGGTGAAATGGTGGAGGAGTATGAAGAGATGACCAGATTTGGAGTGATGCCCAGTGGGTGGGAGCAGGCAGACTACCAGAACCTCCCATTGAAGGGGAGGGCTGTTTCTGAGGAGATGGGCAGGGACATGTGTGCAGGGATTGGGGGATACATCAAGGTGTTGGCTGGCATCGGGGAGCCTGGCAGCAACACATCATTTGACAACCCAGACTACTGGCACAGCAGACTGTTCCTCAAGCCAGATGCTGTTCGCACCTAATAATGTGGATTGGGACGGAGACAGCACCGGTTATGTTCGTACTTGTCATAAATGTGGGTTGTTTTGTAAAGTTTTCCAGCTTTCATTCTTTGAGCTGCAGCATCCAACAAACTTTGAAAGATAAAAGCGATCCTAAAAAAATACATCTGAGTCTATGATTGCTTCATTGTTACATTACAGTAATACGAGGTAACCATGTTACATTGTAGTAGAACAGTCTTTTTGTACAATTTATTATCATATGAAATATTATATGAATGAATAAAATTTGAATAGTTTGCAAATATCAAATCACCTGTGTCATTGATTTTTTTTGTATCAGGGTTGCAATTTATATATATATTCCGTTTTGCACATCACCTGTCGTATGAACCAAAGACTGTATATGGGTTGAACAGCAGGAAATGAGATGGAGGCATATAAACCATACGAACCACAAGAACAGATGAATCCGTGACGCACTTGCGCGCGATTTGGTCAGAGGCCGATCAAAGATGATCAGAGAAGCGACAGATTAACTGCTGCTTGTTTCCGTTTTTGTTCAAATTCAGTTTTGGCATGGGCTAATGGCTTTACCACCAGTTATTGTGTATTAGTTAGAAGGATTTAACAAGCCATTTTGAAATGTCCTGACATGAAAGATGCACTAATGCACTTATCACAACACAGTAATGTGAACTCTATGAACTTTACAAACAGTTGGTTCGTAGGCTACATGTAATATCTATGTTTCCATAAATGTCCAATCTTTCCCATTTTTATTATTTCTAATTTGTCCTTAACAGCGTCTCTGAAACATCCACTTACTGTCCTCTTTATTTAACCGACCAGTTATGTTGGTTTCTGCAAGCCTTGATATAAATTGTTCCCCCATAAATATAGCCTAACAGCTGTATATCAGCGTCAGCTATTTTGCTGACTGTTGAATACACGTGCATGGTCTAATTTTAAAAGCTGATGATATCATTTATGATATTAACCGAGCCTTTTTCGGATGTGATATTCAAAGCACCAAGCTAGGCCGTGAACTATCTTGACTGCAGAGCGTGTCTTTGGCAGCAGGGCGGGATCTAGAGCTCGTACTAGGCTGCTTACTGAAGGCGGGCGGGCCGATGCGGAGAGCAGCGTGGTCCATCCTGTGACTGACTGTGACACCCACCGGGGGAAAAAAAGTTACTCTTGAGTTCGCGGACACACTGCCAACATGTCGGGAGATGACGATACGCAGGAGCAGACCATCGCCGATGACTTGGTGGTCACCAAGTATAAGATGGGGGCCGAGATTGCAAATCGTAAGTGAAATGCAGCGTGAACCGTTTTGACTCAACGGTCCACAAGTATGAGGATCCGTGTGAGGCTAGCTAAACCTGTCAGCTAGCTAAACCTGTCAGCTAGCTAGTCGTACCCAGGCAGCAGCTGTGCCATGTGCCGCAGCAGTGCCAACGTTACATCGTGGTAGTAAGCGGGATTTTGTGGAAAATAAATTAAACGCAACGCTTGCTTTATTTATTTAGGTCGAGCTTTTCTTAACAGTTGCACATATTTGTCTGACGAGCCGTTTGCTGTCACATTAGCCCAGTGAGCTAGCTAAGCAGCTATGTGGCAGAGCTAGCTACCTCACTAGCTAGCGTTAGCTAGCTGCTAACGTAACAGATAACAATGACAAGTACAAAACTGAATGGCGATACGGAGTTGTGCGTAATCGAGTGTCCTATATTTAAATATGAACTTGCAGGCTATTAAGTCGAGACCACTCAAATTGTTATGCAAGATACTACAGGTCTGGTTGATTTAAATAGTGTCATTTTACGTTAACGTTACTGTAGTAAGCTGCTAGTGAAAAACCCAATACTTGTTATGTTAAATGATGTCAAACTTAATCTGTTTATTTAACTTTAACAGTCACACACTCAATTTTAAGTCTCCAACATGAAATCGTGAACTTTACATGCTGTTTGTTGTTGAAGCAGGTCTATAACGCAATAACGTTTTATTATTTTCAAGGCCACGTGCACACAACGTCATTAGTGTGATGTCATAATTGGTAGTTGTTTTAATGTAAATCCACTGTAAATTAAATTAAAAGCATCAAAAGTCTGTTATTTCAGAATTTCTTAATTTCTAAAAACAAATATAAGCATGTTTACTTCCTGTCAGCATGTGCCAACAGTGCACACCGTTACACTCGCTCACTCACACCTGTCAGTAGCCCAGTTTAACCACACTCTTTATGTATGGCCATGTTTCATCTGCCAGTGTGCTGACTGAACAGCTGACTTTGCTGCCACTTAAAGTTTAATTTCACATATATTCAAAACCGTCAAACTCAAAATTGCTACTACAGTTAATCTGAAATTAACTAATTTTAGTGTACATTTTCACTATTTTCTGACATGTAACCAATGATTAATTGACTGACCCAGTTAATAATCAACATAGTCATTGATAATAAAACATAGTTGCAGCCCGGCACTATAAACACTGTTTTATTAACCAATCATTTTAACCACATCATGGCTCATTGTATTTCTTGTCTTGCAGAGGCTCTGAAGACGGTGGTTGAGGCAGCTATGCCTGGAGTTTCCGTGCTCAACCTGTGTCAAAAGGGAGATGCCTTCATCATGGCAGAAACTGGGAAAATCTTCAAGAAGGAAAAGGACATGAAGAAAGGTACGTCTTTTGTTGCATCTCGTCAATCACCATCACCGCCTCTGACTTGGCAGTCCCTCATTGTCTCTCTTTTCTTTCGCAGGTATTGCTTTTCCTACTTGTGTGTCAGTTAACAACTGTGTGTGCCATCACTCCCCTCTGAAGAGCGATGCTGATGTCATGCTGAAGGATGGGGACCTTGTCAAAATGTAAGCTGCCGAATGTATACATGTACATCTTGTGTACAATTATCGTATAGTTATATATTAAATTATAACTACTATTTTATTTGCAGTTCATACTCTTTCTTTTTTTTTTTTTTTTTTTCCCTGTTCTATGTGTTCACAGTGATCTGGGTGTGCACGTTGATGGCTTCATCTCAAATGTGGCTCACAGCTTAGTTGTTGGAGTCACCAAGGTATGTCATCACTCGGCTCATTGGTTTATTCACAAGAGCCATGATTTGTAATATAATTTACTTGATTACTGGTCGTCACACCATTAACAGCTAGTGATAGTTTGGTATTTCAGGTCTTGTAACTCTATCCGTCCTCTTGTGTCCCTTCAGGACAACCCGCTGACCGGACGGAAGGCTGACGTTATCAAAGCAGCTCACCTCTGTGCTGAGGCTGCTCTGCGTCTTGTTAAGCCAGGAAATCAGGTGAAACTCTCCCATCATGACCAAATGAAATGAGCGATGCCATCACTGTACACACCTCATCTAATAAACGTCAATCGGTCTCTTCCATCAGAACTCGCAGGTCACAGAAGCCTGGAACAAGATTGCAAAGTCATTCAAGTGCTCCCCTATTGAAGGTTTGTGAACAATCGGCCCCTTCAAGATTGAGGGTTTACAATGGGATACATTTGCGAGATATGATTTGACTCTGCTTATTCTTTCAATGTGTGCAGGCATGCTCTCCCATCAGCTCAAACAACACGTGATCGATGGCGAGAAAACTATCATCCAAAACCCAACGGACCAGCAAAAGTGAGTTCACTCAGCCAGTGCTTCCTGTCACTGACCCGATGAGTGTTTAAACCAGTGGATGATGATGTCGCTTTGTTTTTGTAGGAAGGACCACGAGAAGGCCGAGTTTGAGGTGCATGAAGTATATGCAGTGGATGTGCTTATCAGCACTGGGGAGGGCAAGGTGAGAGGAACTTTGGTTCAAATTTGATTGTGCCGCTTAAAATATAATAACGGACGGCGAGGTATTTATAACGATGTTTTGCAATTCAGGCGAAGGATGGAGGTCAGAGGACCACCGTTTACAAACGAGACCCCAACAAGGTGTACGGCTTAAAGATGAAGACATCTCGCACATTCTTCAGTGAGATGGAGAGGCGCTTCGATACAATGCCTTTCACTCTGAGGTAGCATCTTTAAACTTCAGATCAAATGTTTTACTCTTTTTAAAAAATACATGTATTTTATCTTTAGTAAAATATTTTTCCAGGTTTCACCATCTCATTTTTCTTTTCTCTGTTTATGTCCTCAGAGCGTTTGAGGATGAAGGCAAGGCCAGGTTAGGCGTGGTTGAGTGTGCCAAACATGAGCTGCTGCAGCCATTCAATGTGCTGCATGAGAAAGAGAGTGAGTGGAGCAATGAGGGACGTGATTAAGGGCTTTATTGTAGGTTTGTTCATATGTGAACAAAATTAAGCGAGGTCAGAAAGTTTCTGAGCTGTTGGAAGATTTCACCTATACTTGAATGTGTAGAAAATGTAGGTCGTACTGGTAAAATGATTTGTTATTGGGCCTCTGGGATTTACGTGCCGCTAAGCCTTCTGCCTGTCCCGGCCTCTAATGGACCAGAGGAAACATGCCATGGTTGTCAATCAACATGAAAAGGGACAGGAAAACTGCGTTATTGTCCAGTGCAGTCTTTTTATATAGAGCTTTATAAAAAGAAAGCATATGTTGAAAATAATCGACTTATGCCTCTTCTACTGTGCAGTTCTAAGGGAAGTCTGAATGATTAGTTTCTACCATGTGTTTTAGTCAGTCGATTAACAGCGTTCTAGTGTCCACTCTTTGTTTTCCTCTGTGAACTGAACCATTGAATGTCCTCCTCATATGTGTCACTGTTTAATACAACTTTCAACCTCCTCTGTGTCCAGGTGAAGTTGTTGCCCAGTTTAAGTTCACCGTGTTGCTCATGGCCAACGGACCACTGCGAATCACAAACAGCCTCTTTGAACCAGAGCTCTACAAGTCTGAGCTTGAAGTGGAGGACGCAGAGCTGAAGGTAAAGTGTGTTTGATGGATGGGGGGGGTGTTTCAGTCTCCTCTTGAAAAGAGAGCTTTAGACTAATGGGGTCACTATCTTCTGTTTGCAAACTAGGTGTTTTCAAAGCCATTATGTGTTGATGTATTGTGAGGTTATGAAAGTCACTTTTGTCTACTTTGTTTTTCAGGCTTTGCTTCAAAGCTCAGCCAGCCGTAAGACTCAGAAGAAGAAGAAAAAGAAGGTGAGCTAGAGGGCAGTGTGCTTTCTTTTCTTTTTTTAAATGTTTACAAATTGATTTTCTCTAATTTCAATCATTTCTGTTTTTAAAGGCCTCAAAGACGGTTGAGACTGCAACCGGGCAGGCAATGGAGACTGAAGCTGCAGAATAAATTCCTCTGAATGACATCTGACGACCCAAAGAACAGACGCCACGAATTCTTCTGTCCCAGCTGTCTGAGGCTCTTGCGGACATAGCCGCTGTGAATGCCTCTGAATCGAAATGATGTTATTCTGGGATGATGCTGCTCCTAAATTGTTGTCACTCCACCTATAATACACACACACACGTGTACATCTCTAGTAAATCTCATTGCCCTTGAGACCGTCGTCTTCTCTTAACAGTGGACAACAATTCTGCTGCAAAAGAGGAAATTAAAAATTTGTTTGACCGTGAGCCTTCGTCCCTGAAAGATATGGAAAATATAATGAGTTTGACAGAGCGGCCCAGGATGATGAATGGACAGTGCTGTGTCAGCGTAATTGTGTGGCATAAAGGTAACTTTCCTAATGTCATAAACCTGAAGCCACGCCTTTTTGAAATGAGTTTTAACTTATCATGGTCAGAAATGTGTAACACCCGTCTTGAACCCTGAAGTTGCGAGCATGACGTCGGTCATTACTGTTGAATTCAGCATATTTACCGCATTTATACAGCTCTCGCTTAGGTCGGTATGCCAGTACATTGTGTACACTTTTAGGAATCTACTGTATTTTACTCGGCTAACAATTTCTAAAACTGACAATTTTAAGACCAAGTTGAGTAATTTAAATGGCAAAAAAGAAAAATTCTCAGTTGTGGATGGCCTAACTCCTGCCACGGGTTCAGCATTGAGTCTTCTGGTGCCACCATCGAGTCCGACAGTCTGTGTTTACATAAGAGTTCCATGTGAGATATATGGATGCTTTTGTAAAACAAATCCCAGTTTCAGAGACTATTTTTGGAAACATTAAAAAGCCACCTGACATCATTTGTGTTTTTTTTTTAAACTGATTTCAATTGATTGTTCTGAGTTTAAGTGTTTTCATAGTTTTTAACAGTAATGAATCACCCTTCCAAGTAAAATTGCATGCTTTGATTTATATTTGACTAATGATACATCTTTGAAAACTATTTAAACTCTAGATTGTATAATTTACAAGCTAAATCAGGAACTTGTGAGAGAACACCAGCCACCAACAGTTGAACAACAAGCGTTAATGAAATGCTGACTTCTTTTTAACAAACAATTGTTCAATAAATAATGATTTTAGAAATACTGAGGGAATTTTTAGATATGTGTTCACATTTTATCTAACTTTATTTATTTCTGTAAATTGTATTTCCCATCATGAAAGTCTAAATGCAGTTTCAAAACCTTTACTGCTGCCAGGAATATCATTTTTGGGGCAAAATTCAGAAGCAACAATCACTTAACCCATAAGGAACCACAGGTGTTTCAGACACTTAAATATCCTGGAAAGTTCCTTGTACAGTTTTATCCTTGATTTTAACTCATGAAGTACCTAAAGTGACACATATGGAACATCCTGGTGAGGTCATTTGACAGTGAGTTAATCTGTGTACCAATGACATCACTTCCAAAATGGCTGCCTGGCTGGTCAGCACATTTGGCAGAACTAACTATTTCAAAAAGCTTGTTTTTGTTGCTGAAGGTAAGTTTCAAAACATTTAACAATTATAATAATTTGATAACATGTCCTACATTACATCTAAATGGTTCTGACCATGTTTATCAAATGAATTTGTTTAAAAAGTTATGAAAATATCGTGACAGATGTGTCACATCAGGCTTTTAAACTTATAACTGCTCAGAAAAACCAATGTGACATTTGTCACAATAAGGAAAATAGTAATGAGCTGCTCAATTGATTTATCTGATTCAATTATTGTTAATTAATATTTTCTTTTGTTGAATTCAAAAGACATTCAAACAAAAAAAATGTCAAAATGATTAAATTATTAGTCAAATGAATTATGAATTATCTCTACGCTAACAACCACTGTGACATGTCACATTTCAGATATTTGGCACTAGATGGTAGTATTTAGAAAATATTTTCAGAAATGTGTTCCATGTCCATTTATATCTCCAATCATTTTAAAATGGGTGTGGGTTGTTGTGGGTTAAGTTAGTCTATACAATACTGGAAAGGGCTTGTTAAATACCAACCACTCATATGTTTTTACAGTTCCCCCAGGTCAAAAATAAATGCACACTTTAAATATACATGTACAAAATACTAAGGGCATACTATCAATCTTTACTGTGTCACCAATCACATAACAAGTATGCTTATAACTCTCTTCTTGAATATTATCTGTTTATTTAAAGGACCAGACAGATCTGCTGCATATGCACATAAAAGGTACGTATTTTCTATATACGATTTACATTCTAGAAAACTGCATTTCCCATAATTTCCTACGGTCCAGTGAAAGTGACGTAGAAAATCCCTATAAAAGTGTCGTCGCCACGTTATGACGTTCTTCACGGAGACGATTCTTTCACTGTCGGTAAGTCACAACTATCGGTGTAAGAATCCAAGTTAATCGTCTTGTTTTTGAGTTAATCGAACTAATCTTTAACATTTTCCTTTCAGTTTTCAGCCTCCTCTTCTCGACATGAGAGCTAAGGTTTGTGTTTTATGTTTGTATGATCAAGTAATCGTTGTTCCTAGTGGCGCTAACGTTTGCGAGCTAGCTAGCTAGCTAGCTTGAGCATGACTACGGGCCAGCAAAGCACGTGGTGCATTAGCTGTCATCTTTACAATTTGTTTATACGCCATTTATTTGCAGATTTGGGAAGAGTTAAGTACATTTGTGCATTTAGACTTGCAGGAATTAAATAAGGAGAAAATTAACATTGTACTTCTCTTCTGCAGTGGAGAAAGAAGCGCATGCGCAGGTAAGAATGCATGCCTCATGTTTTTCACGCATGTGTATCAAGTCTGTTTTGAGAGATTTCTGGCTGATTGCCTCTTTGTATTGTCTTGTTATAGACTGAAGCGTAAAAGGAGGAAGATGAGGCAGAGGTCCAAGTAGACCGTCCTCCCCGCCATGGCTGTGACAGCACATGTTGCCTACAACCAGACCGGTGAGGCTGGCTCAAGATCCAGGACTCTCCAGGTGTCAAGTCTGTCAGTGGCACCCATATCAACGTGAGGCAGCAGAGCTGCAGCGGCTGACTTGTGTTGGAGAGCTGATTCAAGGCCTGCTGGATGACAGGCTTTTCCTCGGACATTCTGGACTTTGTTGTTAATTCCTCAACTTTTGACCTTTTTTGTTTAAACTGTGATTAAAGGTTTTGGTTTCTAAATAGTTTGTAGAAGTTCTTTGGGTTTAAAAAACATTATTTACCTGCTTAGGTTTTAGGGTTCAGGTATTGTGCATGCAGGTCCTCCCATGATTATGGATGACAATGCAACTTTACTTCAACAGAGCCATGACTAATGTTATTAGTTACGCCTCTGCTTTTCTATCATGGTTCATGTTTGCTGTAAAAGACCTGCTGGTACGGTTACCTAATTAAGTGACTGTTTTGCCTTTAGAGAGTAACTGACCAAAATATTCAGAACCTGTGCATAAGTAATTCTACAACAGTGTAAAATAAGTATCAATTCCACACTGATGTAATGAGTGAAATCTGTATTGTGGTGTTATGAACTTACGCTGGCAGAGTTCAAAGATCTGGTGTCTTAGGACCGAGTTTAAGTAAGTGGAGTATGTAGGATCCCAAATAAAACTTAAGAGGCACCGACCAAACGCCCGTCAGTGGAAGCAGAATATCGATTTGGGAGACGAGTATTAATGGGCATGGTGGAAAAGCTGGTTACTTTTAGACTCATTCAAAATAACAAAGCAGACCCAACATAAGACAACTGTCCAGTTAACCCCGTACACATCTTTAATCTGGCAAGGTCTTGCTTTTCAAAGCCTACTTTCTATATGCACGTCAAAAGTAATTAAATCTTACTTTCAAACAGCCTCTGCCAAGTTTGCAATTGCAGGTTTAGCAGATGAATTAGTTTACGCTCAAAATACAGAAATGCCCAGAAAACATGTTGAATTACCCCCATAAACGGGCTTACAACTCACTAAATCCCACCTTTTTACACAACACGTTTAGTAAACATGGCGTTCTATACAGTTATCAATCGCTACGGCACATTTTTTGAAACAGTCTTTAAAAAAAACTGTACAAGAGCATTTGTCGCAACTGTTTAATGGGACGTCGCAGCTCTTGCATTTCTGCAAAAGGTTTTTACTCCCCCAAAACACTTGATTCATCCTTCAAAACCTCGTTATTGTGCCATTAAATTGGTTGAGGGGCATGGCTCCTGCTGAGCTGAGGGAGGGGGGTACCTGGTGGATGGGGTCAGGACTGTCCCATTGTCTTTCAAAGCGCCAGTACAAACTTATAAGAAATGTAATAATGAAGCATAAAAAGTATTGATTACAGGACTGCTGAATATTACGTGAAAACTCACGCAAACAATTACACATTTATACATTCTAACACAAAACAAGTGTCAAGTTGGAACTTGTCCATTCAATTAACAGCTTTTCTTGCTGCCCTATATTTGCATCCTTGACTATGAATCCATGTAAACAATTATTGGCAACGCCAAACTGACAGCTGACATCAGGAGGTCCAGTTTAAACTTTGACCTGTATGAAATAACTTGGTGGAGATCATTTCAACATCACAAATAAGATCCTGTGACCACTTCTGCTTCTGCAGAACAAAACAGCCAGTCATGCTTCATTATTGGGATGCAATAATGAGGTTGTTTATTGAAATTAACTTGTTATTCATTACTGACAGCCTTGGTGAACATGTGCACAAATGGTGGTTACATGTGTATTGTTTGGGCTTTAAAGCATATTTGGTGATTGGTACAGATTGGTACCAGTGAAGCATGACGTTACAAAAATGAATCTGTAAACATTAGAGCATATTATCCAACAAATACAATATTTAATAGATGGCACAAAAGATCAACAATGACTGGGTTGCCATCATTATATCATTATATATCTTGAAAACATATGCAGTATCTCAGTTGTAAACAATGCTCCTGTTAGATTTGGGAGAAGAAAAAAACTCCTCTTGTGCCAGAAATAAGGTGCTATTTTCTTTCTTGTAAGAAAACATCAATATATTTTTTATGGACACAGCAAATCACATGTAAACCAGAGAGACAAAACAGTCATCAGTAATCAGTTTGATGAGGTTTATAAAGCAACACACCCGGCATGTGACAAGCCACCACAATCTGTGGTCAACATGTTGCACAGAACTTGTATGACTTCTTTACAACGCCTTTATGTAGCCTATATAATTATTGTATTGCACATCCCATGAACATATTGTACTTAAGCTCTAAATCTCATTGAAAACTCTTATTGACTTGAATTTTGAAATATATCTACAGTCTATTTTTGTTTGTTTTAGGCCATTTCCTGAGATTAGCCAATATGTAACATGGTTATTGTTGCTTGACTGACTGCATCAATGTGTCTTCATGCATCTGTTGACAAAACGGATCAGCAGACCTCGTCACCCTCTCAGCAAACAGCTGTAATTGGCTGTATCCAGGCAACTAGGGAGCCTGGTCTGTTTTAGTTGCCAAGCATAAATGAGGCTATTAGAGAGAAACGAGTAAAACCAACTCCCAAACTCACCCGAATGACACATAAGAAGGGCTAATGTGAATTAATCTGCTTTTAGCTGGTGAGTAAACATTGCGTTAACATTTAGCGCACATCCTGGTGGTGTGCCGACTCTGCCGCTCGGCTGTATACATTGATAATAACGGGAGCTATAATCTACTCCAACTCGATAAAAGCTGCAAAGCTACTAGGCCGACACCTTTCTGTCAATGAACCTGTTGGCGCTGTCACGCTCGGCTGTAAACGCTGCTGCAGTGGAGATGAGCGGTTGCGCATGCAGCAAGATTTCATCGGGTTATGTAAAAAAAGATAACGGGTTGAGCAGCCTGTGCATTAAAGCAGTATTTTGGGTGTAGTGGTTACTTTAGTCTACGCGGTGATGATACTGTTACTCTGAATAAAACGTGCCCTTGGGTGTCTTCACATCAAATAAACATTCGTTCACTTTGGTCCTAATACGCTCCGACCGCACGAGTCGCTGCATGACGCTACGAATTAATTCTAGGGTTTAGGTTTCTACTGGATTTCACGTGAAGGAGGGCTTGAAGAAGAGCCCGCCCTCACGGGTCTTGGTCGCAGCTTGCCCTGCTCTGTGAGAGAAGCTCCACACGTAAATCAATTTCGGAACAGTCAGTTTAGCGCCCTGCGGAACTGAGGGGGAGCGCAGCGGAGAGAAGCGGAGAGAAGCTGCGATCATGATTTAACCGATCGAAGCCCGCAGTTCATCGTTGATTCCTCCATGGTTTCTATGTTCAAACGGTGGTAGGTATTCAGTGGCGCTTGCCACTCAGTCGTAGAAGCATCGAAAGCTGAAGGCCAGGTCGAGTCGGAGAAGTCAAACTGATCTTGCGATGCCACCCGCGGATGCAGAGCCGGGCATGAGCGGAGGCACAACGTTCGCAGCCCCGGCCTTACCGAGCCAGCCCCCAGGTGAACGCGCATTGAGTGTGCTGTGGTCCTTTGCAAAATGCCTGGGTGCTCTTCTACCTGTGTACCTGGCCGGGTATTATGGCTTCAGCATCAGTGTAGTCCTCTTCGCTCTGATGATCTACATGGGCTGGAAACACAGTCGACTGGAGAAAGCGACGAGGCTCAAGTTTTCCATGTACCTCCAGGAGAACGAGAGAGCGTTCACCACCGAGAAGGCTTTCAGAACCAAAGGGGATTTACCTCCCTGGGTAAGCACCGAATCACCGCCTGCCATCTCTGCTGTTTGTATCACCTGCCACATCTGACAGACTGACTCGACTTTGCATCACTGTGATAGGCTCTTACATGTATGTTACTCACAGGTACCTGCTGTTTATTCAGAAGCTCCAGGCTTATTTACATATTGCTTCCTTACAACTCATACGTGTAAGACTGTCCTTTTTGTTCACAGTATTTTCCTCCTGGCTACATATTTAAGCATTCCTGATGTGCAGTGCCTGGGTAATTAGTCCGAACTGCTGCCTCCCAGGAATGTGGATTTAAATGTCAGACGATGGTCTTCTAGTGGGAAGTTGGAAAGAATGACACTAGCATTGAGTAGAACTTGCACTTTGTAGACGGGGAAATTAATGTATATACTGAAAACAAATATTTATCTATAGGAGAGATTCTCTGTGTGTTTCCTCTTCCTGTTTCACGACAGTAGAGCTGGTATTGACCTTATCTGGCTCCAAAAACATGATGACTCATAAACATACTTCAGGGCAGAGCAGGGGCCATGACCAAGACCACCATATCTGGATAGAGAGCAAAAGAGAATAAACTGTGTGTGTGTGTGTGTGCGTGTGTGTGTGTGTGCGTGTGTGTGCGTGTGTGTGTGTGTGTTTAGGGACGGATATGCCTAATCTTGAGATCACATATCTCTGTGGTTTGTAACGGCTGATATGCATGTGGTTTATTTCCTGAATAATGTCTAATTATTCTAAGTTGTGTTGGCCTGTGTTCTCTCTCTACTTTTAAGTTAAATAAGTAAACATATACATTACATATTTTATAGATAGAAGATAGATTATAGGTAGAAAGCTGGGGAAATTCTATAATAAAGTACAAATACTGCTTTGTAAATAAACTCATCTTATGAAAAAGTAACATCTCAAGTATTTAAACTACTCTGCTCAGAGATAGGTCATTATACACTGCCGTGTTGTGTTTGAGTTCATGCCTGACCAATATTACTTGTCCACAGGTCAACTTTCCAGATGTGGAAAAAGTGGAGTGGCTAAATAAGGTATGCTTTAAATCAGATGTTGCATTATGCTGTGTATTTTAGACATTAGGAGCTTATTAAGAATCATCTGTTTCAACATGCTTGTATGACGACTGCTCCGCTTCATTCAGCTGAACTCTTCAACAACAATGATTTCAAGATAAAGGGTTTGCGTTTCACTTGAGTAACTCCCACAGTGGAGGTACAATGCATCAAATTGAATATGAAGATAAAGAACACTTGTGTGGACTTTAAGTGACCCGGCTCCCGTTGCAGCCTCTCCATTGGAGCAGATCATCTCCCGCTGTAATTAAGAGGCAGAGAGAGTGGCTCAGATCGTATCACGGAACTCTCTGTCTCTGTCAGTACAGTAACCTCGCATCAGCACAGGGCAAGAGTGGATGTGAATACTAATAATACAAACCGCCTCTGTGCAGGAAAAAAAT